TATCAACCCAATCTTTCCTTCTCTCCCTTTCTTTATTCTTTTAATAAAAAAAATAAAAAAAACAGAAACTCCAGTGTCGTATGCAAATGTGAATTAAATCGTGGTACTTTTTTTTCTGCAAAAATTCTCCTTCTACAAGGTCAGCTACAACCTGATTTTTTATTTATTTATTTATTTATTTATTTTATTTATTTTTTTATTATTATTATTATTTTTTTTTTTTTTTTTTGCTGATATAGGGTCTGAAAACATGGGAACCGGCGTCATCCTAGGATACGAATAAAAAAAAAGATTAATAGAAGTTTTCAAAGAAGAATTGGGGATGGGGGAAGGATAAGGGATGGAGGAAAAGGGTTTTAGGAGAAAGAAGAAACCATCGGCTTGGCTTAGCATGCAGGGTAAAAATTTGGGTAATCGTAGTCACGGGTTTTGTTTTGTGAAAGGGGAAGATCTTAGTCTTGCGTGACCCAGTATTGGACAAGGTCGAGGAGGCGGTGCTTTTGATCTTCTACACCAATTAGCATCTGGCTTTCAACCCTGTTAGGCTATGTGACCAATTGGGCCGTTGGCATGTAACTATGGCTTGGCCACATGAGACCCCGCGTGAATGTGGCGAGGATTTTGGATATGTTCAAGAACGGCTCACTATCTACCTCTTATCTTTGTTTTCTTCAGCTTCTTCTTCTTCTTCTTTCCTTCTCTCTCTCTCCTCTCTCTCTCTCTCTCTCTCTCTCTCTCTCTCTCTCTCTCTCTCTCTCTCTCTCTCTCTCTCTCTCTCTCTCTCTCTTACATTTTTTCTCCCTCTATCTGTTATCTTTCTTCATTTATCTATTTATCCTTCCCTCAGTAAGTGTCTACGTTTCTCGTTATCTAACCAGTTTCGTCACTACTGGTCACTGAATTACACGAACACACACACACACACACACACACACACACACAACACACACACACACACACACACACACACACACACACACACACACACCACACACACACACACACACACACACACACACACAAGTCTGTAGTACGCACCGCACCCCCCCCCCCACACACACACACCCAGTTGCTGAAATATGCGTCACTTAGCAACCATATGACTCCTCGGGCTTCTTGGAGTTATATAAGTTTGGTAAACCCTTTTTTCTCACTTTTAAAGTAATTGCAGTAAAGATTTTACAAATGGGTTTCTTGTTCCTTCTCCAGAGACCGGGTTTCGGGGTATTAGGGCCACAAAAAAGCCTTTTTGAATAGGGGATGATAATGATATCAATTGATAAACAGATTAGATTAGGATGTTCGAGATTAAGACAGATTGAAATGCGAGATCGCGGATTAGCACTCTGGCGCTGAAAAAAACAAAAACACATATCGGTTTACCATTACCACACAGATTACGAAATCCCGAACGACGACGCGTGGCGAGAAAAAAACGGAGGGTTTCTGTGCATGTTGGCAAGCAGTCCCATTGAGAGGGCGTTCGTACCCTACACGTGGAGCAGAGACTATTAGCAACATCGGATAGACTGCCGCCAAGACTGCTAATGACCTTTTTGTTTCGGGTTCAGAGGAGCCTCAAGTAGTCTTTTTTACATACTGGGACAAATGCACGTGTGTGTGTGTGTGTGTGTGTGTGTGTGTGTGTGTGTGTGTGTGTGTGTGTGTGTGTGTGTGTGTGTGTGTGTGTGTGTGTGTTGTGTGCACGTGGGCGCGCGTGTATGTATGTGTGTGCGTCCGCGTGTGTTGTTTTTCCTCCTCATCCTTGCATACTCGCGAGCACAAACACACACGTGTGCAAACCACCATGTCTGGTTCTTGGGAGTGACTTAAGATATTGTTACGACTGTTATATCATTTAATGGTTTCAGCCTTCAGGGATCACGATTTTTTTATAACAGAGTACTTCTTTTACGTCACTTGAGTTCAAGGACGAAATTGCAAGCATTATGCAAAAGAGAAGCGAGGAAAATTGTTGCACAACAAGAATACGTAACTTCATGTACATAAATCACACAGATACGTTTATATGTGTGTGTATATATAATATATATATATATATATATATATATATATATATATATATATATATATATATATATATATATATAATAATAATATATATATATATAATATATATATATATATATATATATATATTATATGTAATATATATATATATATATATATATATAATATATATATATATATATATATATATAATATATATATATATATATAATATACATATGAATATATATATATATATATATATATATATATATATATATATATATACATACACATGATATATATATGTATATATGTATATGTATATGTATATATATGTATATATATATACATATAATATATACACACACAGACACACACCACACACACACACACACACACACACACACACACACACACACCACACACACACACGCACACGCACACGCACACGCACACGCACACGCACACGCACAACATATATACACAT